CATAAAAAGGAGAATTGCTATCGCCTTATTGGCTTTCCACCTGACTTCAAGTTGAACAAGAAGAAGGTTTCTCATGCTGCCATGGTGGCTCATTTTGATCGTGAGGTGATTAATCCAGCACCACCAGTCCTCATTACTGAACAGTATCAACAGCTTTTGGGGCTTCTAAATTAGGCTTCAGCTCCGAGTTCTAGTTCAAATTCCTCTGTGAATTTGGTAGGTACTTTTTGCTCTCTTGCTTATGATTCAATTGAATGGATTCTGGATTCTGGAGCAACTGACCATATTTTATCAGACTTTAATTGCATGATTGATCCTGTGCCCTGTACATCCACAGTTAAATATGTTCAATTGCCTAATGAAAAATCTCTTGTTGTCACACATATAGGTTCTGTTAGATTTCCTAATGGTCTTCAACTGTCTAATATACTTCATGTGCCTCACTTTACTCACAATCTAATTTCTGTTTCAAAGTTGGCTCATGAGTTGAAATGTGTTGTTCTTTTCTATCCTGATCTTTGCATATTGCAGGATCTTTACAATGGCATGATGAGAGTGATTGGTAAAGAATTTAGAGGTCTTTACATGCTCAGGTTCCCTCCCAATTCTATTTTTTCTGTTTCTGCTGATGCATGTAAACCTTTAGTTAGTTCTGAAATTCTTTTAAACACTTGTAAATCTGTTGATGCATATAAAACAACTCTTTGGCATGCTCGTTTAGGACATGTTCCAGCTTCTCAATTAAAAAAATTACCTATGTTTCATAATGCAAATTTGCATCAAGAATCTATTCAAAACTGTTCTATCTGTCCTTTAGCTCTGCAGTTTAGGCTTCCATTTCCAATTAGTAATTCTAGGACCACTACTCCCTTTACATTAATTCACATTGATTTGTGGGAGCCTTATCGAATTTCTACTCATACTGGTCAACGTTTTTTCTTGACTATTGTAGATGACTACACTAGGATGTCTTGGGTGTACTTATTGAAGATTAAGAATGATTTTATTTCTTGTCTTCGAACATTTCTCTTAATGGTTCAGAACCAATTTTCTGTTTCGGTTAAAGTTATTCGTAGTGATAATGGTCGTGAATTCTTTAATTCTGAATGTTCTCCCTTGTTTGAATCCTTGGGAATTATTCATCAGAGTTCTTGTGTACGTACTCCTTAATAGAATGGGGTTGCAGAACGTAAACATAGGCATCTTTTAGAAGTTGCTCGGGCTCTTCGGTTTCAGTCACGAGTCCCTTTTAAGTTTTGGGGAGAATGTGTGTTAGCTGCCTGTTATATTATCAATAGGTTGCCATCTTTAGTCTTATCTTGGAAAACTCCTTTTGAATTACTATACAATAAACCTCCTTCTTATGACCATTTTAGGGTATTTAGGTGCCTCTGTTTTGCCACAAATCTTACTCCTCATGATAAGTTTGATGCTAGAGCCTTTGCTTCTATTTTTTTTGGGATACTCTCCAACCCAAAAGGGTTACTTACTGTTTAACCTTGATTCTAAAAAAAATTCATTAGTAGGGATGTTAAGTTTCATGAAACTCATTTTCCTTTTCATCCATCTTCTTCCTTTTATAGTTCTGACCCTGTTTTGTTCTCATCTAATACATTTGTTTCTGATGATGATTTCTTGATTCTAAATACTCCAAGTTCTCCACATTCTGGCTCCCTTCATAATAATCCTACTGAGTTGGGTACTGTTAGTGAAGAACACTCTTCTCAAATTCTAGATCAGTCTTCTGCTTCAATAAGTGCACCTGTCCCTTCTAGGAAATCCTCTAGAGTTTCAAAACCTCCTACTTGGTTAAACAATTTTGTTTGCACTTGTCAGTCTTCTTCCTCAAATTTCAGTGAACTTTCTTATTCTCACTTACCACTTCATACTCAAGTATTCTTGTCTTCCATCTCTCAAATTTCTGAGCCTCAATCTTATTCTGAGGTTATTCAAAATCCACTTTGGGTTCAAGCAATGAAAGAGGAAATCCATGCATTGGAGTCTAATAGAACTTGGTCTATTGTTCCATTACCACCAGGAAAAGTTCCTATTTGATGTAAGTGGGTTTATAGAGTTAAGTACAAAGCATCAGGTGAGGTTGAGAGATATAAAGCTCGCTTGGTTGCTAAAGGTTATAATCAACAGGAGGGAATTGACTTTGTTGATACTTTTTCTCCTATGGTCAAAATGGTTATTATTCGAACCATTTTAGCTATTGCTTTTATCTTCCTATGGCCACTATTGCAAATGGATGTATTCAATGCTTTTTTGCAAGGAGATCTCTCTGAGGAAGTCTATATGCAGCTTCTAGAAGGTTTTTGCAGTCAGGGGGAGAAGGTTGTATGTAGACTGCAAAAATCATTATATGGTCTTAAGCAAGCCTCCAGGCAGTTGAATCTGAAATTAACAGAAGCATTGGTTTCGATTGGTTATGTTCAAAGCAAATATGACTACTCATTGTTTATCAAGAAGCAGCAAGGTAAAATGGCTTTGTTGTTGGTATATGTTGATGACTTGGTTATTACAGGTGATAGTAATGAGTTGGTTGTTGAATTAAAACAAATGTTGAATAGCCATTTTAAGATGAAGGATTTGGGGGAGCTAAAGTATTTTTTGGGAATCGAGGTATTGAGGTCAAAGGAAGGTATACTTTTGAATCAAAGGAAGTATGCACTCCAATTAATCAAGGAAACTTGTTTGGAGAAAGCAAAGTCTGCTGATAGACTACTGTAGATTATGATAGAGTTGTGCAGCAGACTAATGAAGAAGAGCACAATCAGGTTGAAAAGTCAGTTTACCAAAGGCTTATTGGAAAGTTGATTTACTTGACATATACTATACCTGACATTACATATGCAATAAATCTTCTTAGTCAGTTTATGCAGCAACCTAAGAGATCACACATAGAGGCAGCCTTAAGAGTAGTAAGGTATGTTAAGAAAAAACCAGGACAAGGAGTTTTGTTAAAATCTTCTTCAGGCCATCAAATTTTAGCCTACTGTGATTCAGATTGGGGATCATGTCCAATGTCAAGAAAATTTGTGACAGGGTTCTGTATCAAGATTGGTGACTCACTGGTTTCATGGAAATCAAAGAAACAAAATGTTGTGGCTAGATCTTCAGCAGAAGCAGAATATAGAGCTATGGCAGTGGTTACTTCTGAGTTGGTATGGTTGCAAGGTTTACTTGCAGAGTTTAGTATAAAAGGCTTGAAACCTGTGAAACTTTATTGTGATAACAAAGCTGCAATTCAGATAGCAGCTAATCCTGTGTATCATGAAAGGACAAAACATATTGAAATCGACTGTCATTTCGTGAGAGAAAAAATACAAGAAGGTTTAATTCAGACAGAACATGTTTTCACACATGAACAGCTTGCAGACATCATGACAAAGGCTTTGGGACATCAACATCATAGTTATTTGCTATCCAAGTTAGGAGTTGAAAATGTTTTTCAACATCCAACTTGAGGGGGAGTGTTGAGTTTGTAATCTATTTTTTCTGTTATTGATTAGTTAGAAACGGTTTTGAGTTAGTTAAGTGGTTAGATTGAATAGCTGTGTGTATATATACACTGATTGTAAACTTATGGATGCATGTAAATAAGATAATTTTTCATTTTCTCTCAAATTACAAGTTTAACATTTGGATTACGTGAGTGTAATTGATTTTATGTTCATTATCTATTTATTTATATAGAGTAATGTTAAGATGTTATTTTATTTGAGGAGATTTTTTGATTATATATATATTTAAATAATAGCTTACTTAAGATGTCATTTTTTATAATGACTTGCTTGATTATCACGTGCAATTTAAGGGGACAATTTATTATATCCTTAAAGCTATCATTTAATAATTCTTTTTTCTGAGTAGCGGTAGGCGAGTAAGATGGAAATGAGGAAAAGCTTCGGGGAATTGAATCAAATAAAGCAGAAAGTAACTGAACCTAAGACGCCGTACCACCCTATGATTGATGATGTTGGCATGTACCCTTCCCAAAAAGCCTGATAATTGAATTGCATTTCTCACCATAAAATCTGATCTTGCCTTGTAGTGTCTTCTCCTGTAGCTCCTTGTTCCAATAATTGTATCAATGATGCAAATGAATTAAGCTCCGCTTTCATGGATGTGGCTTCCCCTAGTAGCAAAACAACTGGGTGCTCAGGTGGCTCGACATCGTCTGCCGATTAAGCCAGTCCTATGGATTACGAAAAATCTTATCTTACTTTAACCGGGTCATCTTTTCCGCTGTTTTTGCCCCTAACATAAAATAGCTCCTTATTCTTTATTTCTTTTATTTCGATCTTGGAATAGAAAAAACTGTCCGAAAAATTATTATTTAGACAAAAACACACATTCTACAAAATACAATTTTTATGTGATATTTTGATTAATAATATTATTTGAATAAGAAAGTTATTGTAGATATAAATACCCATGTGGCATGTGCATGGAAATTAGGAAAAACAACAAAATCACCTACCTCTGCATGAAGGTGGTGGTTGTTCCTTTGTTTTATTTGCCAACAACATTTCAAATCAAGCTATTTCCCAAATTGCTTACGGGCACAGTTGTGGGATCCACTGGTTATAAAATAATAATATACCCGTCAATGATTGTATCATAATTAGTATAATATAACTTTAGTTATACCATCCATTCAATCTTCTTATGATCAAAATAAATGAATATTCAATTTTCTTAGTTTGTTTTTATAAGATTTTAATAAGCTATTTGTCTATTCGTTGTTGTTGGTTCAATATAATATAATTCATCATTCTGATCCTCTCCAGAAGCACTCCGCACCAGTTTTTGTTTTCAAATATTTAGAACTAGGATTTGATGCTAAAAAACTATTCTCTTCAATATAATGTATATATATATATATCTTTTCATCCCTAATATATGTTTAAATTTATGAAAATTCATCAGATAGTTTTAGGGGTAAGAAACCTGATAAAATATAAGGATACACTGCCATAAAGAAAAGCTAGAAGTTGTGAATTTTGCATGTAGTACATTATTATTTCTTCATGACAGGAAAAGCGATAAAGAAACTCTTTATTTGCAACAAAGTAAATCCTTTCAATCCAAGAGATGCGAACTTTTCAACCCGAGTTACCTTTCTTCTTCCATGGAGATTAAAGAGGAGGGACACTTTGTTCATTTCTGAAGAAATTCATTGGATCAACCATGCTCTTCACTTGTGCCAATCTTTTGAAGTTGTTCTTGTAATATTTCCGACCCCAGATGCTTGCTTGTTCGTAACTTGTGTACCCAACGTTGTTGGTTCCGATGTCCAGATCCCTGTAATTATAATACGCTTCTCTCGGTGATTTCGATGCATAAGTTCCCAAGTAACTGTGAAGTCTTCGTATCCAGCTTATGTATTTTCCTTCATCTTCTCCGTTTGTCCATCCCACAAGGTACGAGGCTTGGTACAAGTTGCCTGCTCTATGCGGGTATGGAATTTCGTTTTCTGCAACTTGTTCCATTCTCCCACCAAAAGCCACCATCATCATCAGAACAACGTCGACTTCTTTCTCAAGAAACCTCGACATTATCCCCTCTAATCCGCTTTCGGGAATCGGTTCCTTCACGTAGTCGGATTTGGCTTTGAATGTTGGTCTTGCAAGAGCGGTTCTATTAAGCATAATCTCCAGACTTTGTGTCGAAACTCCACCGAAGTAAAGAACGGATTCAGCCCAGCTCAGTTCCAGGCAATCTTTTTTAGTTAATCCCAGCTCCGGAAACTTGTCTTGAACCAATGGAATCAGCTTATCAACCCCACCGAGAAACAATCCTTTGAAGGCGGCCTGAACTGTTTTCTTCCCTGCTTGAGTTGAATTCACCTTAGTTATCGTAACGTCAGTGAACAAATCATCGGGAAGCTTGTGAGCAATGTATTGCCATCGATGAAGAATCTTGGTTACATTTTGTTCCAAGTTCTTGTTAACTGTATACACAGTAACAACAGGTGGAACTTGGACTAGCTTTACTTTCCAAGCGAGAACAATCCCAAAGGTATTTCCTCCACCTCCACGAATTGCCCAAAACAAATCTTCCCCCATGGATTTTCTGTCAAGAACTCTTCCATTAACATCGACTAATAGAGCATCGATCACATGATCGGCAGCAAGACCATATTTTCTAATCAATATACCATATCCGCCTCCACTAAAATGCCCGCCGACGCCCACGGTGTGACAAACACCAGCAGGGAAGGCGAGGGTCTTAGTTTTAGTAGCGATCCCGTAATACAATTCACCAATAGTTGCACCGGATTCAACCCAGGCAACTTCGTTCTTCACGTCAACCTTAACAGCTCGAAAGTGTAGCAGATCAAGGATGACAAATGGAACTTCAGAAACATAAGAAAGACCCTCGAAATCATGACCGCCGCTGCGAATTCTAATCTGCAAACCATGCTTCTTCGAGCAATAAATTGTTGATTGGATATGGGATATTTGCAGTGCCTTGACGATGACAAGGGGTTTAGGGGTTGTTGGTGTGATGAACTTGGTGTTTTGAATGTAAGCATTCAAAACAGATGAAAATGAGGGATTGTTTTGCATGTAAATAACTTTAGAAATGGTGGAAGAGTTTGCTGAACGAAGATGAAGACAATTAAGGAAATTCCCATGAGAATCAGCACAAGTTGAACCAATCAATGAGACCAGGACAACTACAAGACATGGAAGCAAAGAAACGTGAGCCAACTTCATTGTCTTGAGCTGGTTATGAGCATACAATTGTGTTGTAGTTTACTTATTTATAGGATCTCTCATATTCATACCATCTTTGTCTATTTTAAAATTAATACTATTTTTGAATTAATTATATTATACATCTTCAATGATTCTCATTTTAAGTTATCAATAATTTTTTAAATATTCTAATTTTATTCTCAAATTATGAATCTTATTTAAAACTAGTACTCAAACTTTTTAACATTTCAATTTCTTTCACAAACTATGACTCTTGTTCTAAATTGGCCCTCTAACATTTGAACATTTTAATTTCATCCCAAGCTACTGGTATATGCCAATCACATTCCATGTTAATAAAATCATCAATACAATATATATTTTTAAGCTTAATTATAAAATAAGTGGCCAAACTATAGCGTTTTTTACGAATAGGTGCCCAAACTTTTTGCATAACGTTACCACTTTAGGTGCACAGGTCGTAATTGCCGTTAATTTTCTCCGTTAAGTGACACATGTCACATTCTGGTAATTTTGGTTTTTTATAAAATTATTATATTTATTTAAAAAATCATAATTTCTCTTAAATTACAAAAAAACCCCAAATCCCTAAAAATCTTAAATCCCTAACCTACTATCGTTAGCCTTTTCGACCACGACCACCGTCGCCGACATAGTCTCTACCATCTTCCTAATTAGACGTCATCATAGTTGCCACTAATTAGCCGTCGGGATCGCATGTAGTCGCAATTTTTAGCCTAGGGTTCACAAGGTACGAAACGTCAATTGGTCGCGATTTCATAGGGTTATTTATCGTCAGGGGAAGGCGAGGTCGGGTGGAGCTTTGTCGATGACAAAGGGCGGCAATCGATGCGAGTTTAGAAATTGAAATGAGGGCTTTCAATGTTTTGAGGCAATTTCGATTTTTTTTTGTGTTTTTAAATATATAAGTTTAATTTTTTAATTTAAATAAAATTTTAAAATTCTCATAATATGCATGAGTCACTTAACGAAGACAATTAACAGCATTTACGGGCCGAGCACCTAAAGTGGTAACGTTTGTAACATTAGGCACCTAGATCATTCAAAAAAAAGTTTGGGCACCTATTCGTGAAAAGAAATATAGTTTGAACACTTATTATAATTAAGCCATATTATTATATGTTTGAAAAAATAGGTTAACTATGGTTGAAACTAATTACTAATATTTTGAGAATTTTGGGTGAAATTGGAAGATGCAAAAGTATGATGACAAATTTAGAATGAGGATCATAGTTTGGGATGACATTGAAATGTTCAAAAGTTTAAAGAATAATTTACAATGAATATCATAGTTAAATGATGAAATTAAAATATTCAAAAGTCTAAATATCTATTTAAATTAAAGATAACAGTTTAAGGACTTCCGACATAATTAACTCGTATTTTTAAGAACCAATAAACTTACTTCATATCAATTACATTGAAAGGTATGAAAGTATTATCCTACACTCATCCATTCAATGTCTTCTCAAACTTGATCAATTTAACATTATTTCAATTACTTAAAAATAAATAGTTAAACTTGACATTTTCTATTTATGTATTGTATTTTCAAGAGTAATATGGGTATATTCACCTAATATTTGACGAATTAATAATTTATTTTATATAAGATATTCACATTCGTAAACAAATTATAGATTTATATTATAATTCGTGTGATTTAGTTTATAGCATCCGAAGTTATCAAATTCATTAAAAAATCATCCATTGTTTTCAACTCTTTTTTTATTGTCCTTCGGTTCGAAGGCTTTGTCCTGATAAATTTGGACAAATCTATGTCGCACACATGATTTTGACGGGTAAGTCTCTCAAAACGAGATGTTCTGCGTATACAAAAACTCGAATCTAAGATATTTTGTAACCGATTAATTATGTATACTTATAAATAAATATATATATTTTTATAGATAAATATATTTTTTTAAAAAGAAATCTTCATACATAGCTGCCAGCTAATTTGTTGGTTGGAGTGGAATGAATGCAAAGTCTGCACTCAATCAAATTGTCTAAATGACTACTCTTATTAGTCAAATATATATTTATACACATCAAAGTAATCTTTTGTATTTTCATGGGCAAACTACGTTTTTTAGTCATTCAAGTTTATCGATATTGTATTTTGATTGCTCAACTTTTAAACTTCTCTCTTTTCTATCACTCGACCGTTAACATCATTTAAATTTTTTTGGTAAATTTATCCATAAAAGACCTAAAACTTTCCTCTCCAACTTAGATTTTTGAACTTCCTTTGATTCATTGATGTCAGAATATTTATTCTAAATCGAAAGGTTGGAGAGGTCGAGAAGTAAGAGAAAAGTAATTATCTCAAATCTACGTTCATAATATAGTGGAGATTACATATCAAATCGAGAAAAGATAGAACATATTGGCACCAATAATGTCTCAAACAACAACGGGTGGCAATCGAACAACAATGAAAAAGAATAAATTATATGTTTTATAAGAAAAAGTACATAAATTTAATACGGTCCTTGTGACATAAGTTTACTTATGTTGATCCATGTCTAGTATAAATACATATGTTTGGATTATGAATTTTGGATGTTTAAATTTTTATAAATGATATGATTTGTTAAAAAAAGTACATAAAATTAGATTATTGTAGTTACCCGATTAACAGGTACTTGATCTTTACAAGTTAAAACATTTGTTTTGTTTCTAATATCAAAAGAATCGAGTACTCGTATATTCAAATACCGTGAAATACATATACCCAATTACGTTGAATAGAAGGTTGCTTTTAATTGATCAACCTCCTCTGCTTAAATTTTTTAAGGTATTCTACTTAGTTTAATTGATTTTTCTTTTTGTATCAATAGTCTTAGGGAGTGGTTGTGAACTTGAATCATTGGTATATGATTTGTTTACTTTGCTTATGGTTGAGACGTGCAATCCAGTTTATAAAATAAGCACGACCAAGCCTCTTCCATAAAATGTTAGGTAAAACAATTTATTATTTCAAGTTGACTTACAATACAAATTGGTGTAAGTTGACTATTCTTTTTAAATGGGTAGATTTTGAAATACATATATCAAATTTATCTAAGTTAAGAATAATATTAAAATTGAGTTTATGAATTATTAACATAATTAACATATTCTAGTTAAGTGATATTTGTCAAAACCTGATCATTGATATCTTAATTAACGAATTTCATTTAACTAAATAGAAATGACTATTTTACAAAAGATCAAAACTACAAACTTTTCAAAGGTAATTATACCAAAATTTCAAAGTTAGTTTTCTTCTTCCAAATCAGTTTTAAAATATGGTTCATTTTGTCTTATTTTTATTAATTCATTTTTTCAAATATTTTATAAGAAAAATCTTAAAACGTTTAATAAGCACCATTGACCATCTAACTATTGCCCCTTTTTATTTTGACCATCATTTTTGAAATTTTGTCAATTAGGTCACTCAACTATTTAAATACATTTAATTAAACCACTTTTCATTAATATTTAATTGAGAGACTGGTGTGGCAGTTAAAATATTTGTTATAATTACACATTTGATCATTGTTACTTATATATTCTATCAATTTAGTCCTAATTTAATAAATAAAAATAACTTAGCCCTCAAATCAAATAGTATCATGTGTCACTGGTGCCAATTGTAATGACATGTGTCACTATATGATTGGATGATTAAATTTATTTTTAATTTAATATATTTTTCTCACCAACTAGACTGTCACCCTCTAGAGGAAATAAAATTTTAGGTGCTTAAATGATGACAAGGGGAATCAAAATAGGGGTTCCTAGGTTGAAGAAGCATGACTCAACCATTGAGCCAAAGTACTTATTCAGTTTAAACTTGACTACATATATTATATATGTTGTATATTAGTGTAAACTTAAATTCGTAATATTTTATATATCTTAATTTAAATTCACATATTAAACTAATTTTAGATCTTAAAATGAAAAAAATATTTTTTATCTTAAATTATTAAATATATTTTACTCTTATTTTAATTTAAAAATATATTTTAATCTTATCTTAAATTAAAAAATATAATGTATTCTTATCTTAACTTAAATATTTATATTTTATTCGAATAATATTTTAAATTTAAGATTAAAAATAAAATATATTTTTGTAGTTAAAATAAAAATATATTTTTAAGATAAGATAAGAATAAAAGATATGCTTAAAATAAGAATTAATTATATTTAATAATTTAAGGTAAGAATATAATATATTTAATAATTTAAGTTAAAAAATTCAAGTTACTAGAGAAAAGGTGAAGAGGAGATAGTTAAGAATACAATTTATGTAATAAGTTAAGAGAAGAATAAAATATAATTTTAAGTTAAAATAAGAATAAAATATATTTTTAGGTTAAGACAAGAATAGACTATATTTAATAAGTTAATATAAAAATAAAATATATTATTAATGTTAAGATGTAAAATTAATTAATATGTGAAATTAAGTTAAGATATATAAAATATTAAGAATTTAAGTTTACACTAATATACATCATAAATAACATATAGTCAAATTTGAATCAGTTAACTACTTTAGCTCAATGGTTGAGCATTGCTTTTTCAACCCATGAACCCTATTTCCCTGGGTATCATTTAAGTGTACAAAATTTTATTTCCTCTGGAGTGTGACACGTGTCACCCTCTAATTGATAAGAAAAATATATTAAATTAAAATAAATTTAATCATCCACTCGGATGGTAATACATGTCATTACACTTGGCACATGGTAACACATGTCATTACACTTGATACCAGTGACACATTGCACCATTTGATTTGAGGGTTAAATTTATTTTAATTTATTAAAATTAGGTCCAAATTGATATAATATATAAGTAACAATAACGAAATGTGTAACTATACCAAATATTTTAACTGTTGCATCAGCTTTTCAGTTAAATACTAACAACAAGTGGTTTAATTGAATGCATTTAAATAGTTGAGTGACACGATTGACAAAA